TTCAAAAAAGAAATACAGGACTAAAATGCAGGCCGAGTTGGAAAAGCAGTCTCATTGGCTTCTTTTTCTGGAAGTTATATATTTTCAAAGTGTGAACTTGAACTCCCATGGGCCTGAAGCCTTATGCTTGTTACACATTTTACTTACATTGGTATTACCTTTTGAGCATAATTAAAATTTGATGTTCAATTTGCAGTTTAACATAATGTACTTTTGCATCAGAATTGACAGTAGCCTCTTTTGTGCATAGTTATTTGCTGCCTTGTTTCACAATAACAGCTACCATACGTTTTTTTATTCACTTTGTTAGCGTATTTTGTATTAAGTATTATGAGCACGTTTTTCACTTGTTGAAAAACTCCATTTGTGAGCATATCCAGGTATAAGTACATGTAAACTAACTGGGATTTATACAATAAATAGTAGTGCTAACCTTAGTTGGCAAAGTATTCTTTTTACTTTTCTGCATGATTGACGTTAGAAAGCAGCTTGATGTCAATATGGAGAATATATAAGTACCTTGATAATATCATATTATTGCCATCATCTGTTATTTGGTACAATCATTTTTACAAGGCTTTTACCGGTTTCCTTCAAAGGGACAACAGTATTTAAATGAATTGCATAGGCCAATTCTGTTCATTATTGGAAAGTCTCCGAGGTTGGTAAGACAAAATTGAATGATGAGCATGAGAAAATGATAAGGAGCCATTGGAAAACAAAAAGCTGTTCACCAACAGACTGACTAAGTCTGACTAAGTCCACATCAAAGAAGTGAAATAGATGGAAACGTGCTGATCATTTTTGCAGCCGATTTGAAGTAGCAACTTATCCGCCAACAAAATGACTAAGTTTACGCAGAAGAAGTGAAGTAGACAGAAACATGATGATCATTTTAGCAATGTTTCTGCAGCAGATTTGCAGTAGTAACCTATTCCCCAACAAAATAACTAAGTTCATGTAGTAGTAAAGTGATATTTATTGTTTAAGTTATTCATGTTTCTCCTGGTCTTCTGGATTATTGCCTATCATTACGGCACAGATGTTACATACCACCTTGCATGATACTAAGATCTAATATACCAAAGATTCNCCAAAGGATTTCAAAATCAAATAAAATATCCCGTGACCATTTTACTCAGGCAATGAGACCATAAAACCAAATGTTTGTGCTCAAGAAACAATGAAAATTACAGACTTAATAACATCTGTCCAAAGCTGGGGCATTATGGAGTCATGAACATACAGATCAGAGTTATGAGGCTATACTACTCTAACAGTAAAAATTGTAAAAACTTAACCTCAGGTTTTGTAAACAACTTTTATCATCAAAGTATGCAGGCAGAGGAGAGACTGGAAGAATTCTTGCTCACATAAAGTATAAAATACAATTAATAAAATTTTGGCTTAAAATATAACACTTGGATGATAACAACCTACTTAAACAAGCAAACCTACAGATGAATTACAATATTACAAATTACTCTCAACAAAAAGCTTGTCAAATCTGAAAGATGATAACTTCTCTATTCGAAACGGATTTGGAGATGTATGGTTAAAACAGAATCCTCACAAAAAATTCCTTCCACATCATCAGTGGCTTCGTACAAAACTTGCACAGTTAACTTGTGGACAAATCTAAATCCAGCATCTACTGCCAATTCAAAAATACATTTAAAAAAGAAAAAATATCTGGACGTTGTTCAAGATGATGAAAAAAGAAAAAGCCTTAGTTGTTTTCACACAAACTCCACATTGAAACAGGCAGATACACTAAAACCACTCCTGATGCACAAACACATTTACATTGCTGCTTTAATTTGATATACTCAGGAAATACTGTAGCATCATATCAAACTGCTAACAATATCATAAAATAATCCAATCATGCTGATTTTCTAGAGGAATTCAAAACAAAAATACAGTTTATCAGTTTTAGGGCAAACAACAGATGTGTCACAAAGTGCTGACTATGGCAATGACACTGGACAGACACAGTGATCAGAATATAGACAGACTGAGTGTCTGTATATAATAAATATGTGATAAAATTTGCAATTATAACTTAATGCACTCGCAATAACAGAGACCATTTATAACACATCATATCTGACCTGAAATATAAATTCACATCTAAACATTTTCAATGACCTCTTGGTCTCTTCAGCTATGGCATATTGTCTACCACAATCTCACTGTATATACTACCTCTACTAGTACTGTAACAGTTTCCATGCATATGAGGAAAATTATTATAACACATCACAACTGAGCTGAAATATCAACTCACTTTTAAACATTTCCATTGTGTCTATTTGTCTTCAGTGATAGAGTATTGTCTAACACAATCTCTCCTTGCTTTATATACCCTGCCTCTATAGTTTCCATGTATATGGGGGAAATTGATTCTTTGTGTTACCTGGAACCCACATTTGTTGTGTAATTGTACTGTTCCATATAACTGGCTCCACAGGATCTGCTGTGTTTGGAAGTCTTGTTCTGGGTGGTTCTGGCAGCACTCTCTCTCACTCAGTATAAAACTGACCTCTTGGTCTGCCAGCAGCTCTTTACACAATTCCAGAAGTGTATTTGCTAAAAATATAGATGAAATGAGTGTTACTGTTTGCAATGCATGTTAAAAATTTGTACATTATCAGAAACAATTCAATGATAAGTAATTCAAATACAGGATGCTTTTGTAAAATGCACAAGAACATTTTTGTATCACCATACTTGATATTTATATCTTGATACTGCTCGTATGTAATGGTGATCACATTAAAATATAAGTATTCATTTTATGTGTTTTGTGCATACAAGATGAATTGGTTCAAATTCTTCACAAATAACAGGTGTGATTAAAAGAGTACTTAACAACTATAAAACTTAAATTTACATTACAATTAAAGCAATGAAACATTAATTTTATTCATAATAATAATGCTCTCAACATTGAAATAATCATTTCAACCCCCACAAAAAAAAAAATAATAATGTTACAATTGGTATTTGTGTCTTTACAAGGAAAGAGGGGAAACAAATTACCTATCTTTATTTGTATAAAAAACAACCATATATTTTGTCTGCTATCTGCAAGAGGTCCAGTCACCTGCTTACAATGGCTGTCCTGTCTCTGGCTGTTCATTCATCCTAAAACGTGCCACGTCCCGTGTCTTCCACAACTGGGTGAGATGAAGATGTTTCTGTTGCCGTCTTTTTATGTCTGCTTCTTATAAAATACATGTCCCCCATGTTCAGCCAGGTAAAGTCAGTTCACCTAGAAGACACCATGTTGTATGGAGACTGGAGCTGGAAAAAGAGACATGACAATATAAGTGAAGGAACACAAATTATCTTAATACAAAGAAAAGACAAAAACCTGACAGTCCACCAGAGCCAGTTGGGAAAAATATTAAAACTATGGTACACTGTCAAGTGCCCACCTTATATGGTAGACATCATTGTTGTGGTGATTGAACTGTGATAAGTTAAAAATAACCTTGTCTTTTGGAGGCTACTGGACACAATTGTGACTGCTGAGACCAGCACATTCTCAGATTGAACACATTTAAATAAGCAAAAATCTGCCAAATCTGCTGGAATTTTTGTGAAATTTGCACACAAAATGCCTAACAATTGTAAAAATCTGGGATAATTATATCAATTGGCTGTGGGTACTTAACAGACATTTTCTGAGGAGTAATTACTAACAAAAAATCTAAATCATGACAAAACTACTCTAACTTAAAGGAAACAAAAATATGACAACTGGTTTCTTTCTCTACAGAGGAAGATTAGGAGACCAATTATATATTGTCACATGGCATGTAAAACAATATTAACCATTAGTTTAGTGTAGCACCTGCAAGCAGNTGCATGCATATGGGGAAAATTATTATAACATCACAACTGAGATGAAATATCAATTCACTTTTAAACATTTCCAAAGTGTCTATTCATCTTCAGTGATAGAGTATTGTCCAACACAATCTTCTTGCTTTATATACCCTTCCTCTATAGTTTCCATACATATGGGGGAAATTGATTCTTTGTGTTACCTGGAACCCACATTTGTTGTGTAATTGTACTGTTCCATATAACTGGCTCCACAGGATCTGCCGTGTTTGGAAGTCTTGTTCTGGGTGGTTCTGGCAGCACTCTCTCTCACTTAGTATAAAACTGACCTCTTGGTCTGCCAGCAGCTCTTTACACAATTCCAGAAGTGTATTTGCTAAAAACATAAATGTCACTGATAAATGTTACTGTTTGCAATGCATGTGAATCATCTCTGTAATATCCTTAAAAATTCTTCGTGCATCATAGTGCAAACTATTATCAGAAACAATTCAATGATAAGTAATTCAAATATAGGATGCTTTTGTAAAATACAAGAGCATTTTGGTATCACCAAACATGGTATTTATATCTTGATACTGCTCATATGTAATGGTGATCATATAAAGATATAAGTATTCATTTTATGTGTTTTGTGCATACAAGATGAATTGGTTCAAATTCTTCACAAATGACAGGTGTGATGAAAAAAATACTTAACAACTATAAAACTTAAATTTACATTACAATTAAAGCAGTGAAACATTAATTTTATTTATAATAATCATGCTTTCAACATTGAAATAATCATTCACCCCCCCCCCCCCCAAAAAAAAAAATGTTACAATTGGTGTTTGTGTCTCTACACAAAGGAAAGAGGGGAAACAAATTACCTATCGTTATTTGTATTTAAAAAAAAAAACATATTTTGTCTGCTATCAGCAAGAGGTCCAGTCACCTGTTTACAATGGCTGTCCTGTCTCTGGCTGTTCATTCATCCTAAAACTTGCCACATCCCATGTCTTGCACAACTGGGTGAGATGAAGATGTTCCTGTTGCTGCCTTTTTATGTCTGCTTCTTATAAAATACATGCCCCCCATGTTCAGCCAGGTAAAGTCAGTTCACCTAGAAGACACCATGCTGTATGGAGACTGGAGCTGGAAAAAGAGACATGACAATGTATAAGTGAAGGAACACAAATTATCTTAACACAAAGAAAAGACAAAAACCTGACAGTCTGCAGGGAATACCTTTTGCGTTACGCGTGATTGGCCTTATTTTTCGAGCATGATGCATTATTTGAGCCCAATATTCTGCGTGAAACGTGATTCAAGAACTGCTTTGTTGGTATAAATTCATCAAAGTGATTCCTGATTTACCCTTCCAAATCTACGTGATTCGTGAAAACATTTAATTAGCATTACAGGAATTTGTTCTAGAATGTCCCCAACTTTGCATCATGATTGTAAGGCGATCACTCATATAAATTCAACAAACTCTTCAAACAAGGAAGGTCGAAAAGTGGAAATGTGAGCAGTTCGCTAGTTTCCAATTCAATTCGTTTATCATCCCCTTAGTCTCTGTCGCGGGAATCCTGACCAATGAGAATGGCTGAATATCTCTAAGCAGACGATTCCTGTGATTCAACACACGAAATAAATCATTCCGGTAATGTTATAAATTCTTTGTATTCCTGCAAGTACGACAATTTTCTATCTTGATGAATGGTGATAGCTTTCAATTTTTTGTGGTTGGTGATTGACCTGTTTTAATTCTTCGTGATTAGTGATTAAGAGGGAGGGTATTCCCTACACTCATGTCAACAATTTATCTTAAGACAAAGAAAAGACAAAAACGTGACATTCTACCAGAGCCAGTTGGGAAAAATATTAAAACTATGTTACACTGCCAAGTGCCCACCTTATATGGTAGACATCATTGTTGTGGTGACTGAACTGTGATAAGTTAAAAATGACCTTGTCTTTTGGAGGCTGCTGGACACAATTGTGACTGCCGAGACCAGCACATTCTCAGATTGAACACAGTTAAATAAGCAAAAATCTGCCAAATCTGCTGGAATTTTTGTGAAATTTGCACACAAAATGCCTAACAATTGTAAAAATCTGGTATAATTATATCAATTGGCTGTGGGTACTTAACAGACATTTTCTGAGGAGTAATTACTAACAAAAAATCTAAATCATGACAAAACTACTCTAACTTAAAGGAAACAAAAATATGACAACTGGTTTCTTTCTCTACAGAGGAAGATTAGGAGACCAATTATATATTGTCACATGGCTTGTAAAACAATATTAACCATTAGTTTAGTGTAGCACCTGCAAGCAGTCCAGTTACTGTCATGACAATGGGTCATCCCAGGGAAGTAATGACCACTGCTCCACTTTGGGTCCAATACATTTCATCCTAAACTGACCACATCAAGCAGGCCACTACAGAGACACTTAACAATGTACAACAACTTTCAAATCATTTGTGTGAACTAGAAAAAAGATAAACATTCATTAAACAAAACATTCAACCAATTGACCACTGATGATCAGAAGCTAATAAAACCGAGTGCTTCATCCAACCAAAGAACATGAATTTCAATCAGCCAATATGTTTAAAGCACATGTCATGAACAACGTTTTAATTGAAGTATCCATATGTATATGTTTTGTGCATTTAAGACTAATGGCTAAAACTAAAGAAATGCATTTTTTACAAATGAGATGTGTGGATCAAGTCATTTAATGACAATAAAACTGCAATGCACATTACAATTTTAATTGGATAATTATAAAAAACATGTTTTTTAAGTCACATTTAAAATCATTTAAATCCAAAACATGTGAAAACTTGCCTTGTGTCCCTACAGAGGTAAGAAAAAAGACTAATTCTACCCACTGTTACTTCAAAGACAAAACCAGCTGTTCATTTTGTGTACAACCTGCAAGAAGTCCAGTTACCTGTTTTCCATGACTGTCCTGTCTCTGGCTCTTCACAACCCATTCATCCTGAAACTTGCTATGTCTTCCACAACTGTGTGAGATGAAGAGATATTCCTGCAGCTGCCGTTTCCGGTCTATTTCATATTAACAATACATGTCCCCCATGTTCAGCCAGGTAAAGTCAGTTCACCTAGAATACACCATGCTGTATGGAGACTGGAGATAGAAAAAGAGACAAGAGATTATATGAATAAAGTGGCATAAATTTTCTTAATAAAAAGACAGAACTCTGACAATCCACAAGAGCCAGAAGATTAATTAACCTACAATGTACCAAATGTCCACCTAATATGGCAGACATCAAAGTTATGGTGACTGAAGAGAGAAGTTTAAAATGTCTTTTGGAGGCTGCTGGGCACAATTGTGACTGGTACAACTGTCACAATCTTAAACTGATCAAAGTTGAATAAACAGAACTCTGCCAAATCTTCTGGGATTTTTGAGAAATCTGCACACAAATTGCCTATAAACAATGGCTGTAATAATGTGGGATAAGTAAATCAGTTGAATTTGCCTTGTAGAAGTACATTTTGTGAGGAGTAACATGAGAGAAGTGAAAAAATTTAAATTTTAAAGGAAGCATAAAATATGATAACTGGTTTGTTGATCTACAGAGGAAGGATAGAAGACAAATTATCTATTGTAAGATGACTTGTAAAACAAAACAAATTTTTGATTTTGTGTTCTACCTGCAAGAAGAATATTTGACATGGTGATGGGTGATGGTGATGGGTGACAGTGGGTGATGACCACTGCTCCACCTTGGGTCCAATACATATCATCCCAAACTGACCACATCAAGCAGGCCACTACAGAGAAACATGACACTGTACAAGAGCTGTCAAACTGTGTGTGAACTAGAAAAAAGAAAAACATTCATTATAAACATTCAACCACTAATGATCTGAAGCTAAAAAATACCAGAATACACAGATGGGGAAAGGTAGCAGACTTTCACTTTACTGTATCTGCCAGAAGATACTCTGTTATCAGACAAGGCCTTCCCAGCGAGCCATCTGACCTTCATTTGTACAGCCAATATCATCAAAAACAGAGATCAACATACATCTTTCGCGCATGTAAAGCCTCCAGGCCGCGTCATAAATTCCGAGATTGTTACTTCTTTACCGCTGGTAAGGAAAGTAGTCGGCGACCAGCTCCGTCTGACCATCAGGGTGTTTGGAAATGATCTGCCTCAGATTCATGTTCCTACACCCGGACGGCAGCAACTTAACATTGAGCATAGTGTTGCTGATACAGTCGAACGTAAACAAGATTTCCGGCCGATTTCAATGGGAAAANGTGTGTGAACTAGAAAAAAAGAAAAACATGCATTATAAACATTCAACCACTAACGATCAGAAGCTAAAAAATATCAGAATACACAGATGGGGAAAGGTAGCAGACTTTCACTTTACTGTATCTGCCAGAAGATACTCTGTTATCAGACAAGGCCTTCCCAGCAGTCCATCTGACCTTCATTCATACAGCCAATATCATCAAAAACAGAGATCAACATACAACATCTTCCGCGCATGTAAAGCCTCCAGGCCGCGTCATAAATTCCGAGACCAGCTCCGTCTGTCCATCAGGGTGTTTGGAAATGATCTGCCTCAGATTCATGTTCCTACACCCGGACGGCAGCAACTTAACATTGAGCATAGTGTTGCTGATACAGTCGAACGTAAACAAGATTTCAATGGGAAAACATCATACACACCATAGAAATTTGTCTCCCGTTTTCCGCAACGAACCACTTCTTTCAGAAAGCGATAACAGTGAAAATAAATATTTTAGAGTACCAAAAACAGTAAGTCCTAAAAATAAAAAGGACAGAGGGGATCCCTGTGATTTACCCAAAAAAGTGTCTTTTGACGGAAATTTTGAAAACTGGGAGTCTTTTAAAAACAGGTTTGAGAGTTATCGCCAAGTGAAAGAGTGGTCGGAAAATGAGTGTCTAGATTACCATTTATGGAGTCTGGAAGGCAAGGCTTTGGCTTTGTATAACACCAATCTCAGAGCAAATAAAAACATGACGTATTCAGCATTAATGAGTGAAATGGTTTTAGTATTCGGAATTAAAAAATATCCCGATTCAGCTCGTTTGGCATTTCACATCGTAGTTCAATCTCCCAACAAAACCTTGAATAAATGGCTGTGTCGTGTTTTGTTATTGGCCAAAGATGCTTATCCTGATGAATCAGAATCCTTTAGAACAAAAGAAACAATATCTAAATTTTGTCAGGGCTGCATTGATCAGGATGTTGGGCGTTATACTCGTCTAAAACACCCAGCAAGCATCAGCGAGGCAATGACTTACATGGTGAATTATCAGCAAGTCTACAAATCATCACATATTCAAAAACCAACACGAAAAAACCGTGATGAATTACAAATAAGTTCTCTAAATTTGACAGCTGATGAAAATCAGCAATTTCCAACTGAAAATGTAGAACAACTTGTTGAATCCATCATGGAAAAACGTGTTAGCCAGTCACCTAAATTGAATACAATTCAGTTTAATTCAATGGCAGAGTTAGAATCTATGGTTGAATACTTGGTCCAGAAATTCACACCTAAAACAACACCTGTGTGCTTTTTCTGTAAAGGAAATTGCCTGAAATACAAAAAATTCTTGCAAAGAAAAAATGCTGAAAAACATCAAGCACAGGCTGATAATACGAATCCAACTCATTTAAACTAGAAGGGGCCAAGGGAAAAGATCGTAACCTTGGAAACCCGACTAAAACTGGTCACAAAACGGACGAAACCATCACGACTTCATTGTCTCAAACACGAACCGCTGACAATACTTTCCCCTTAATGGAAACATTGCATTGTCCTCATCATTCCGAGTTAGAATGATTATGATGTCAAAATCCTGTAATTGATGAACTTGGGGTTTTTAGATCTTTATTCGTTCCTTTGGTAGTGGCGGGTGTACATGTAATGACCAAAGTTGACACCGGTGCACAAGTTTCTGTCATGGCTGAAAAAATATTCGAGCAAATTAAAAATAAACCATCCCTCAAGAAATATTACAGTCTTACTCTTGCGGCAGGGGATACACAAATCAAAACTTGTGTTTGCGAGCCAATATCCATCGAACTAGATCGTTTCAAAACCAAGGAATCTGTTCTAGTAGCGCCGATACGTGACGATTTTTTGTTAGGCCATGACCTAATCACCCAGTTTAATGCGAGCGTGCATTGCAATTTGGGTTATATTCAAATAGAAGGGCGCGACATACCAGTGCAACAAACGGAGTCGCGTGCACAAGACATAAAGATAGCTCGGGTGAGCGTATCAAGAAATGTGGTAGTACCCCCAAATTCAGCACTTAGGATAACGTGCGAGATCAACGAAAAGTTGGAAAATCATCATCGAAGGTAAAGAAGAAGAAGGACTACTAGTACCAAGAACTGTCTTGTCTGAAAATTCAAAACCAGTCGTGTGCCCCATAAACCCATCTGATCAATACAAAAAATTAAAAAGGGGTCATGGTGTCGCTACGGCTTGCGAGGTTTCAGAAATATTAGAAAACCCTGTTTCGCACTTTGGTTTACATCGAGTGGGAGGGGGGTCTACTAAAATTAATCAATCAAGCGCTCGTGTTGTCAGTGCTACTGATGAGACAGTGACTACCAATCTACTGGTGGGATTACCTGAAATTACGCATGTAAAATCAGCTGTCCCTAGAACTGGTAGAGATTCTACAAACACACTTGTGGGATTCAATTTACCAGTGGAGGATTCAATTTACCCTCCTATAACTGGTAAAATCCCTAGAACAAGTATGCACCCAAACATGACAAAACTTGTGGGACTAAATTCTACAGGGGTTTGTGGTGTTAATTCCCCTAATTCGGAGAATATCCCTAAATCAAGTACCCGATTTAAAAATGACACAAAAAGTAAACAACCTCTGAAGGTGGGTGGAAGTATTCAGGGCCCTTTAAGTGCCCCATCTGCCTGAAAGGAGTTAGTTGAAGAAAAAATTAACGCCGAAATTTTCAAGTCACCTGTAAAGGGGTCACCTCAGGTGCGGAATTTTCAACTAATCGCTGGTGAAGTTCACGCGGGACTAGATTCTTCTGGACACATCAGAAAAACATCAGCAAAACATCAGAAATTCCTGATCATGTAAAAGTGGTTTATGAAACATCTAAGGGGAATTTAAACAAAATTCAGAGGGAAAAATTAAAGAATGTTCTATCTGAATTTCAGAAAGGACCCTGGCTGCCTTTGGTCTTCCATACTCTGGCAAGTTAGATGGTCTTAAGGGTTTGCTTCCTGTTTGCTCTGGGAAAGAGGTAGAGTTGGTGGGGACTGTAGCTATTTACTGCGATCCCAAGACATATCCCACTAAGGGGTATCTTTCCACTTTGTCTGGGGTCGAGTATGTAGCTATTGGTTTTCACCCGAGGCTGGCCCGCAAGCTTTCTCAGGGCAATCTGGACCACGCAATTAAGACTTTCTCAGAGTTGGTTAAGATGCCGCTAGTAACAGCTTTTGGTGAGGTAGGTTTCTACCACACTGAAGCCATGTCTAAATGGCAGGATCAGGTTGAGTTGCTCCACAGACTTCTGCCTTTTCTAGAAGCCAGGCATCTCCTGGTTGTGCACTGTAGGGGAGTGAGGGGAGACTCTGGAGACTGTGAGTTTGCCATAAGATCTCTTTTGTTTCATCTGAAACTGTGTGGCGTTCCGCAGTCCCAGAGGATCCATTTTCACTGCTTTACAGGCACAAAAGCCCTTCTGGAATTTTGGGGAAGGCAGCAACCAAATATCTTTTTTGGTTTCACCCGGGTTGCTGCCAACTTTAACAAAAAACAATTAGCAGCACTTAGGGCAGTGCCTGACTCCAAACTTCTTTTGGAGNAAAGTACTCACCCTTTTGTCATCAAGAATGTCTTTGAATGCAGTTAAATAGATTCCGGAATCGTGGAATCTCCTAATGTTTCAGATCAAACTTTTATGGTAACTCATAAATATATCTTGCCCTTGGAATAACGTTATTTCATAACGTGTGAAATTTTCCCGCTCCGCCTAAGCCCGACTAAGTAGGTCAAAGAAAACCCGCAGTGAATACTGGGTCACATCTCGGTACATCCGGTCACTTTCAAGAAGCGCCGCAGTTTTACTCTGAGTCCAAGTTATTATATCTTTTGATTTTTCATTTAGATTTGATATTATTGATTATTGATTGAGAATATATTTTCACAAAAAGTTAATTCAATTTTTTTAATTGTTATTATTATTATTTTCTTTTTGCTTCAACTTTTGATGGATCTCAGCTAACACAAGGCTCAATTTGAGCAAATGGAGCATTTAAGGACCTGCACATTTAGAGTAATTACCATTAAAAGTATAATAAACGTACTTGGAAATATTCTAAAGTCAATTTTTGCCTAAATATCCTGCAAAGCTACTAGTACCTGTATTTTACTTTTGTAGACTGCGCTAGTAGGCCTATAGGCTTTATATTAGGCCTACATGCGCGTTCATTTTTTTTTCAAAACGTCTGAATTTTTTCCTCAATGCCAAGTATATTTTCTCATAGCCTGGTAACGAAGGTTTTGCAAAGGGCTTTATAAGAGAATGCAGTTTTGTCGTGTTTCGTGTAAAACATTTGACTGTGCCCTATTAACATATCTTCCATCTAATCATGAGCGCCCGCTGGGAAGGGGGGGGGGGGGTAGTGATCACAGTTCACGGCGACAGGAAATAAAATCATCAAATTACAAATCACATAAATTAACTAAAAACTTTATTCGTATCCCATTGAAAATGCTAGTCTGTCGAGCTGAAAATAACTATCATCGAGTATAATGACTTCTTTCCACTACGGACGAGAGATACATGAGAAACCCGCAATTCACGATTCACAGGAATGGGGTGCTTCACATCTCGGGGAATGATAAGTGCATGTTACGAGTAAGGAAAATACCCAACGGGGCCTTCAGTCCTTGTCTTAACTAAAATGAAGATTTAATTAATGTCTAAAATATTTCTAAACATTAAAGCAACTAAAATTATTGATCTAGAGCAAAAATACCCCACGAAGGATTTTTCAGCTTTTAAAAGTAGCTGCAAGTTATTTATTGCGTCATTTAGGATGACCATTCTAGACATTTTCTGAGACGTTACACATTATACTTGCTTCCAAACAGGTACCCTTTATTTCTACCTTATTTAAAATAAACTTGAAATAAACTCTCTCTCTCTCCGGTTGTCTCTGGCCGAATTCACAATAAGTTGATCTTCGGACCAGAATCAGATAACAAACCTCTTTTATGATAATTAACTGTTATGACTGATAAATAAAACTACACTTTTTTTTCATTCAACCGCATCTTCCGTATATTTACGAAAAAAATATATTGAAAACGCATCTGTAAAGATTAACTCTGAAAGATAAAAAAATGCCCTAGCTTTTGGCTTGTGAACCTTCTTCAGGTACCAAAACAAGAATAAACAAGCAAACTACTGGTATAAGTGACGTATGATGCATGTAAATGGGACACGAAGTTAGAAGTGCGTGATAAAGGCATAGTAGTATCTATGATAAAGGTTAACGTCTTGAAGATTACGTAATAATAAAACAAGAATAATATTCGTTGAGATATTCATTGTCTCTATAAAGTCC